GGGATCCAGTGGTGTTGAAACTGGTTTAGCACCAAGATAACCAGTTTCTTCAAGAAGCTCAAGCACATATTTCCTCTGATTGAGGAAAATGCCAGAAGTTGATCTTGCAATTTCTAACCCCAAAAAGTATCTTAAGGGACCAAGATCTTTAATACGAAATTGCTGATGCAGAAAAGACTTCACATGGTTAATCTCTTCAAGTGAGTCACCTGTCAATAAAATATCATCAACATAAACCAGAAGAGCAGTGAAGTTATGGGAAGTAAGTTTAGTGTATAAAGAGTGATCAGCTTCAGATTGAGAAAAGCCAAGAGAGGAAAGGGCTGATGATAACTTGGCATGCCACTGTCTACTGGCCTGCTTCAGCCCATACAGTGACTTGTTTAACTTGCAAACTTTGTTGGGACCAAGATACTCATAACCAGGGGGAATGGACATGTAGACTTCTTCATGTAAGTCTCCATGGAGGAAGGCGTTGTTTACATCCAGTTGTACCAAATGCCACTGTTTGATAGCTGCAATAGAGAGGAAAACTCGAACAGTAGTAATTTTAGCAACAGGAGAAAATGTATCAAAATAATCAACTCCTTCTAATTGAGTATATCCCTTTGCAACCAAACGGGCTTTATAACGTTCTATGGTACCATTTGCAAGATACTTGACCTTATACACCCATTTACAACCAACTGGAGATTTACCTGAGGGAAGATCCACAATGGACCAAGTTTAGGTGTCCTTGAGGGCCTGAATTTCAGAATCCATAGCCTTTCTCCAACAGTCATGTTTAGATGCTTGTAGGTAAGTTTTGGGTTCTATGGTAGTGGAAATAGAACAACAAAAGGATTTGTAGGATGGTGAGCAATTTGAGTAGGAAAGGACATTGGATATAGGATAAGGAGTGGTGGCTAAGGGAGGATTTTGGCTATTTGAAGTTAAAAGGTTGCAGTGGAAATCTTTAAGGTGTGAGGGAGGATTTTTGAGTCTGGTGGATTTTCTTGTGGGAGGGACTTGAGGTTGTGGGGCTGGCTGTGAAGTGTGTAAGGGATATAAGGGTGTGGTCAATGACTCTTGGATGATGTGAGGGTCATGGTCAATAACCATAGGACTAGAGGAAGGAGGAGATAATTGAGGAGGATTGGGACAAGATAGAGTAGGCTCTACTACTGTATTAGGTGAGGGTGAATTAGTAATGTTGATTGGGATAGGGGTGGCAGGTGCAGCAGCATTATTTGGGGGGCCAGGGTGTGTAATGTCACAATCATATACAATATCTAGGTTGTCATAAGGGGTGGTAGATTTTTGGGAAATGTTGTCCTTGAAAGGAAAGAAAGTCTCATAAAAGACAACATGCCTTGAGAGAAATAAAGCATGTGATTTTAGGTCATATAATAGGTATCCCTTAGTCCCATCAGTGTAGCCAAGAAAAACAGCTTTTCTGGCCCTAGCATCAAATTTTGTCCTATTGTTTTGTAGGGTTGTTGCATAACAAAGGCAGCCAAAGACCTTTAGATGAACAAGGACAGGGTAGGTATGGTAAAGGAGTTCATAGGGAGATTTAGACTTAAGGAGAGGACTAGGAATCCTATTGATGAGGTGGACAGCATGTTGAATGCTGAATGTCCACAGATTTAAAGGGATGTTTGAATGAAAGGTGATGGCTCTAGCAACATTTAAAATGTGTTGGTGTTTTCTCTCAACAACCCCATTTTGTTGAGGGGTTTCCACACAAGTCTTTTGATGAGCAATGCCTTTAGATAGAAAAAAAGGTTTGAGTGTAAGGAATTCTGAGCCATTGTCAGACCTAAAGCATTTTAGAGTGGTTTGAAATTGATTTTCAATCAAGGAAACAAATTGGATGATGCTGTTTTTAGCTTCAGACTTTGTTTTTAAAAAGACAATCCATGTGAATCTAGTGAAATCATCAACAAGGGTCAAAAAATATCTATGACCTAAAATGGAATCAGTAGCCAAAGGGCCCCATAAGTCAGCATGTAAGATTTCAAAGGCAGCATTAGTATTGGTGACACTATTAGGAAAAGGTAACTTCTTTAATTTGGCCAAATGGCAAGAATCACAAGGATTCATATTATTGTTACAAGGAATTAAGGGAAATTGTTTAGACATACAGTGCATTCCAGTATTGGAAAGATGCCCTAGTCTATTATGCCACAGTTCAAAAGAATTGGAAACTAAAGAATTACATGAAGGAGAGACATCACTTGTATCAATCACATAGAGGCCTTGGTGCAATTTAGCTGTACCAATCATTCTCTGCGAATGGTTCTGCAAAATGGCACACATGGTCGAAGAAAATTTTAGAAAGCATTTATTTGTAGTTGTTAATTTTGTGATAGAGACAAGATTGACATGAAATTGAGGGATATAGAGCACATTGTATAGGGTTAGGGTTGGGGATAGTATTATAGTGCCTGAGATGTTTGCCATGATATGAGAACCATTTGGTAAGGCTACAGAGATAGGGATAATGGGTTGGTAAGTAGCAAAGGAATCTAAGTGAAAGGCTATGTGATCAGTGGCTCCAGTGTCTAGAATCCACAGTTTAGGGTTCTTACCAGGATAGTGCAGGGACTGAGAGTTTGAGGCAGATGGAGATGTAGTGATAGCATTGGCTGTTGGGGCTGGTTGAGACTGTTGAAGTAAGGCTCGGAGATTCTGAAGTTCCTCCTGAGTAAACCCAAACGTGGATGTGGATGATCCTACAGTTGAATCAGCAGCTTGTGTAGTGTTGTTAGCTTGAACATGAGACTGACTTTGGCTAGTTTGATGAGTTTTGGTGCGTTGTCTATAGCCCGGAGGATATCCATGTTTCACAAAACAAGTATCCACCGTGTGATTCGTACGGCCGCAGTGAGTGCAAACCCTATTTCCTCCTTTGAGGGCAGGATAGGGACCTTTTCCTCTGCCGTAAGACACTCCTTTGCCATTGGTATGGGTGTTGACCTGAAGAGCAGTGGCAGGAGATTCAGTAGAAGGACTCTCCGTGGAGGTAAAGGGAGTACCGGAGTTCAATTCCCGTTCTTGCTGAATCACTAGCGAGAAGGCCTTGTCAATGTCCGGAAGAGGTTGCATCATCATGATCTGCGATTTGGAGTGGGCGAAACGTTCGTTCAATCCTTTCAAGAACCGAATCACGTAATCTTGCTCACGGTAGACACGAGCAGATTGTACAGCATCACAAGAACACGCAATTGAACATTTGCAAAAAGGAAGGGGACGATAATTCTCCAATTCATCCCAAAAGACTTTCAACTGCGTAAAATAGTCAGAGACATCAAGAGTACCTTGGCGGAATCGATACAGATCTTCTTGGATATCTGAGATTCTGAAGATGTCGCTCTGAGAAAACCTAATTTGAAGGTTCTTCCAAACGCCTGCTGCAGAGTCGATCCATAACACAGATTTCGCAATGGATTCTGAAATTGATCGCTGAATCCAAGAAAGAACCATTGTATTGCAGCGAATCCATTGTGCATAGAGAGGATCAGCAACTTGAGGCCTTGGGAATGTGCCGTCAACAAATTTCTCTTTGTTCTTCGAAATCAGAGCGATTTGCATCGATCTTGACCAGATGTGGTAGTTCTTGTTGTCCAATGGTGGAGCAACGAGAACAAGCGCCAGACTTTCGTTCGGATGAAGATAGTAAGGGTTAGCAGAGTTTGTCGCGAAATCGGAGAAGCTCGGATGATCCATCGTCAATGGAAAACAAAAGAAGGAATCGCCGGAGAAGAAAGAAGAAGACCGTCAAAATAGTCACCGGGAGAGAAATGATATAAGGAAACCGCCGGTGAGGGAGGAAGAGACGGTGGCGAAGGAAAAAGGAACGGTGGTCATCAGAGCTCAGGTTGCTCTGATACCATATTGATATTGAGATAATAGCATAGTAGTGAAAAAGAATACGCCACGTGTAAAGTAAAAAATATGTGCATTATCTCATATATTCCAGTAGTTTACATCCACTAATATATATACTAAGAATGGAAAGGGTAAACTAGTAACTAACTGTTGAAATAGTAACTAACAGTTAACAACTTAACAGAAAAAGGAACTAACTCTAATAGCTATCTTGATAGATAGGCGTCAAGAGCAAGGTATAGAAAGATAGAAGAAGACTTTGTATGACCTTAAGTAGGCACAAGAGCAAGGTAGAACGATACTTTGTTCAAGAAGGCTTCCAAAAAAGTTCCTGTCAACATATATTGTCTACAAAAGCAAAGGAAAAATGTAAATTTTCAATAATAAGTTTTTATGTTGACAATTTATTATATACACACTAACAATGATTGTCTTGGTGATTCCGATGATCGGAGGAATACTTGAGTCTATTTTCTTACCTAGTTATACAACTGTGTTTTGGTCCTCTAGAAACAATCTTACCATACAGTCTTTCTAAAACGGGGATTTGCAACTACTGTAAACAAAAGAAAAAGACAGACAAAGACATGAAATGATGCTGCGGTTTCTTTTCTTTTTTGGAAACAGCGATTTCTTTTTTTGTAATAAAGAAATATATGTTAAGTTCACAAAAATAACAAGAACATGATTGCATATAGCTCATGTGATATTCGTTCATTTGAAAAAGAAAAAAGAAAGAAAAAAAGGGATGAAAATCAACAGTGACTATTGAATACCATTTACAAATGTGTAGTTCATTTATACAAATTTGCAGCAGTTCTGGAAAACATTTTGTATTGCCTATCCAGTTTTGATAAGAACAAAAGTTCAAGCCTCGAATACTAGTAGGTTTCATGTTAGCCAGAAACTAAAATAAGTATCTTTGTTTTTGATTTAGTTTTTGGAAAAGCCTAAGCCTGTGTTCGGATCCGCGTTAGAAAACCAAATCACGTTAAAAAACCACATCTCAAAGCAAAAAAGCATGAAAATAATGAAGGAACTGTTTGAAGCTTTTGAGTTGATGTGGTTTTTCTAAGTGATTTTGATCAAGTTGATGATCATCCAAACACGTATTAAAAGAACATCCTTTAATCAAAATCCATTGCTTCGCTTTCTACTACTGCATCGTCAATATGTTCCTCCAAGTTCACCACAACCTTGCCACCGGCAACTTTCCTCCCCTTCTTTGGAGGATCCAAATCTGTATTAATCTCCTTCAAGACTTTTTCACCTGAATCACAGGGCTTTGAAACCTCCATCTCCTCATCCAGCATGAGGTTTTCATCACTTTTAGCACTTAATTCTTCAGAACTCTCCTCCATCTGCTGCTCAGTCTGTCGCTGGAGTGATTCTATGACACCCATCATTTCTCTATTAACCTGTCAAAAAACATAAACAAACAAAACCAAGACCCTTTTTATGTACAGCAAAACAACACTTCAAATTGAATAAATTGCAGTTACGGTTGTTAGTCTATTTCACTAAATATTGCAACAAAACTTCAAATATTATCAAATGCAAAGACAATACACTGTCAATAATATTTTAAGATTACCTAGTGATTTGCAACAAAACTTTGAACATTATCAAATGCATAAACACCATATATTTTAAAAATGGTTTTACGTTTCATGGTAAATTAGGAATACTACTCAATTCATAGTAAATTAGGAATACAATTAGAAGAAATTCAAAAAGGGTTCAATATGGAGAATAATAATCCATTCCTTATTGGATTGGAGCAAATATAAATCCTCATAACAATATAATTATTGATCACATTACAGATAAGCAATGTAATCCAAAAATTGATAAAAAGGCTAATAACACTCGCTTCAAAGTTTGGTCACAAAAAAAAAAACTCACTTCACAGTGAAATCAAGCAGTTTTTCATAAACATCTATTTTAACAAATGTGCAATAGTACATGTGGTTCTGAAGATAATCAGCTATATCAGCTGATCACTTCACAGTGAAATCAAGCAATTCTTCTCATTAACATCTATTTTAACAAATGTGCAGTAGTACCTGCGGATTCTGAAGATAATCAGCTATATCAGCTGAACAAGTAGGGCATTTCATAATGTTCTTCCGTGTCCGCAAAGAGCGTCCACTTTGAGATGCCCTCTGTCTGATATAGCTTTGGCCAGAAAAGGCATCCTCCAGGCAGGCTTTGCAGAAATTGTGAGCACAAGGAGTAGTAAGAGGGGAAGACAGCACTTTGTGACATATATTGCAACCAAAATCTGCAAAAATATTGAGCACGGAGGCAACACTGTATTAACTTAACAAGTTCACTTCTATACGGTGTTTTATAACAATGACAGCTTCAAATAACAATGATCTTAAAAAAAGGAAACAAGGTTAGTTGTTATCCCCGGGATTATATACCTTTCAGCAGCTTATCCTTGCTTTTGGAGGACACCCTTTTGCTTGTTTTTTTACTTAGTGGTGGGGGCTTCTTCCACAACCAGCAGCCCTTTTTCTCCTGAAATTTAGACAAATGCACACACTGAGAGACCTTACAAAGTCTATAAAACAACAAAGTTGGAAGAGATAAAAACATTTGTCTAGCAAATAATTATCCCAAAATCTAGACTTAATTATTGTGATTATCATATCTTACTACATACATAAATAACGTCTAGAAAACAATGAAGAAATGGGATAAACAAAAGTGAAAGAAACACCAACACATCAAGAAATCTAAGAAAAACATATCAGTAAACAGATACCACTTACATCAAAGTCCCATGATGGATCACCCTTTCTTTCAGTAATATCAGTTGCACCCTTAAACTCCTCAATTAGAGGTAGTGAACGGGGACGGTCTCCGGATAAATCACTGCAGATCAACAAAATGAATGAAAGTGATCAAGTTCTATACTTCCATCTGTATATTAGTGTACACACACACAAGGAAATATAAAAATCGAGGAACTAAAACCAACCTTGTCCATGGTGCTGGCTCATTGTCACACCTCACAAACAAATACCTGCAAACCTTATGACCCTATCACAGAAAGATTCCCAGTCAATAATGAAGTTTAAACAAATAATAATCAATTAAGTCAAACTCTGTACTTAGATGAATAAATGCAATGATTGGTTATTAAAACCAATAATGATACTTACTTGTATTCCAATTTTGCGCCAGCATTTCTCAATTCTATAAACGCCGTCGTATCTCACTCCTTCTTCCGGTGCATAAGAGGAACGTTTCTCCTTGTGGGACCTGAACCAAATAAACAGATCTATAAACAAAAATGCATGACAAAACATCACATTAAAATTCGAAAGTACACAAATAAGGAATCAATCAATCAATAAAAACGGACCTAACAACACGAACAGGATAACCTTTTCGACAACTGACTCTCAAAGCCTCATTATAACTCTCAAACTTCTGATCAAAAGACTGATCTTTATTGGTACGTTTATTACCACTAAGATCTCTTCCACCACTTCCAGTATAAAGAAACCACTCACCATGATCTTCATCATCAACATAACCACCCGAAAGAGCAACAGACTGAGCACCATGAGTACTCTGCCCCGCAATCCCAGCAACATGAGGGAAATGAGCCCCCCATTGCCTACATTCCATCCTATCCTCCCACGAATCCCCAACAAGAACCCCACGGTTCCTCGTTGGATCATTCTCAGCAACAATCGGCCCAAAATGATCTTTCGCAATCGTCACAAATATCTTCCCACTACAAGCATTCGCCTTCCCTGTTTTCTTCGCCCTCTCCGTAGTAAAAGCAGTATCAGGAAGCTCATCATTAATCACAGCATGATAAACTTTCGAACCGCCACTTCCTCCAACACCACCCTCCGATCTCGCTAGCTTCGCATTACGAATCGCCATCGCTAACTGTGAATTAATCCGCGGATTACTCGCCATCTTCGCCGGAATCGCAGTCCTACAATTCGAACAAGTGTTCTTTCCTTGCCTAATACATTTCTCAAAACACTTTAAACAAAAATTGTGCCCGCACGGAGTCTTAACCACCATAACCACAACCACAGCAACAAAAACAACAACAATAAACAACAAACAAAAACTAATTTCAAATAATTATTTTCATAAAATCAAATCCAAACGGTGAATTGAAAGAAAAAAAATCACGAAACGAAAGAAAAACTCACAGTGACAGGTCTTTCCAGTAACTGCATGCAAACGGAGCAATTAAGGCTTCCATCGAAGATATCAAGAGAATCATTACAGCTTTTATTGATGGATTCACTTTCAGTAGAAGATCCGCCGACGAGTTCTTGGCGTTTCTTCGCTTTCTCTTCATCGGTGAGCGACGGATCGTTCTCGATGGCGCGGATGGAGGAAACGAGATCGCCGGCGATGCACGGAGCAAGCGAATCGGCGGCGAGATTTGGCTGAGAACAATCGGGGCATTCCCAATCGGCGATAGTGGTGGGAGCGAGGGGTAAACATGTAAAATGCCATGGAGTTACGCATGTTATACAGTGGAGAGTTTCTGTTTCTAGAGGCTGGCGTTTGCATACCATGCAAACGCCATTGGAGTCGCAGGGAAACTGCGCCATTTTCTTTCTCTGTGGATTTTTTTTTTTAGTTGAAAATTATGTGATATTAAGGTTTTTTTTTTGTCCTTTTTATAGAAATTATTTTTAATCCAATTTTCACTCGAGAGGGAAGGGGCTTTTGAATTTCTACTCATTTTTAAGCTGTTTTTTGTGCATCGATCTCTTCATCTTCTTTCGTTTCTTTGTTTTTTTTACACACATTAATAGTAAATCTACACACATCACAACAAAATACATTCACATATTCAATTTTTAAATATATCTCATCAATTAATATTTATATAATTTTATGTAAAATTTATTATAATAATAATTTTTTTAATTATTCATTTTATAATATTATTTAGATATTTAATTAAAAATTATTTATCTTTTTTTAACATGTCTCGTAAATTAAAGAAAAAAAATTACAACAACAAATAGGACTTAGACTAAAATCTTATTCAAAAAAATTAGAGTGAAAAAAATATCATAATTGTATTAAGAAGAAAAAAATATAGATATAACTTTTTAGAAAAAAATTTCTACAGTGTACATAAAATTCTACACACATCAAAATAAATTATTCGAATTAATTTTCAAATATATCTCATCAATTAATATTTATATACTTTTATGTAAACTTTATTATTATAGTATTATTCTTTTAATTATTCTTTTTATCATATTATTTATATATTTAATTAAAAATCATTTTTTAATCACTTTCTCATAAATTAGAAAAAAGGTATAAAAAAATATGAAGGGACTAGACCAAAATCTTATCCAAGAAAACAAAGGAAAGACTAGCTAAATCTAAAGTCTTAAAGATGATTTCTTGAAGAGAATTTTATTATATATCTAATACTTTTTTTTTAGATTTTTGATGAAAATTTTAAAATATTTCTAAAATTTGAAAGTGTGTGTCTAAACATATCACCAACTTGATTTATTAAATTTATTTTGAATATGCATGTCTGAATTTATCTTTGCGGAGAATAATCAACATTATTCAATATAATTCATAACATTCATTCAATATAATTCAAATAAATTACAAAAATAATTATGCAAAAAATTAAAGTTATATAAACGGGCGGTTGAGGACGTTGCAACATCTTGATAACATCTTATGTCGATCTTTGAAGCTTCGCATTCATCTCAATTAGACCCTTAGAAGAGTATCGTTGAAAGATACTCTCACATAACTTCTAAATCGTCGTCGTTCTTGAGCTCAAACGGGGTGAACTTTACGTTTCCTTCAGTGTCAAGTGAAGGTGAACGATACTCAAGCTTGACCACCTTTCGATTCTCTGGATATTACAAGAGAGAATGCAGTATGGTAATGAGCTCGGCGAATGGCGTGTCCTGCGAGAATCTGAATTGAAGTGGCGACTGTGCACCACTGAAGTAGACAAAAGCAAGGTGCATATATATTTGTGTTATTTCTGATTGTAGTGTGTAATGGAGAATGAAATGGTTTGGAGACTCAATTTATAGCCTTTTGGAACAATATAGACCAAAGAAATCTTATTAGGACATATTTCGGAAGTGCACATTTGAATTAACCTTGTTTTACCAAAATAAGGGGTTTTCGGATTTGCATATCCAAAAATACCACGTTTTTTCAATAAAAATTTGAGGTGAATTCGGAAGTTCATATCTGAAATAAGGCCTGTGTTTTTTTTTTATTGAAGGTTAATTCGGAAATGCAATTCTGAGTTATGCAAAACCAGAATAAGCATCATTATTTGTACCAGACATGAAAATCATAAATAGTTGTAAAACTATATATATTCTGAGTTATGCAAAACCAGAATAAGCATCATTATGTGTGTGTGTGTGTGTGTGCGCGCGCGCGCATAGATTTTACAATATGTTCGACAATACATTCAAAAAATGATTTGATTACATTCTAAAATACACTGAAAGAATTGTCACCGCTTAAATCTGAAACCGATTCTTTCTTCCACTTCTCCCTATTTGATTCTCTCTCAAGCTCCATCAAATTGGTGAACTCTACCATCCTATCCAAAAACTGACCCGACCAAGTTTCCGCCTCTTTTGCATGATGTGTCGTCCATTCCACGGATGTAGCCGAAATAGGACAACCCGGTTTCAAATAAACCTGAACAAATAGCATGATCTAAGGTACCTAATACACATGATGCGACTGAATGAATCTTTAGGTGGGGGATCTCGTAGAGGAAAAAATGTTTCTCAAAAACCATACTTCGTCAAGTCGATACACACCCTCTCATATGCACTTGCTATAAGATGACCCATTTCAGAGAATCTCATCCATTTTTCAACTGGTGCGCGAATGCTAACACTTGGAGTAATAGCGTGGTGAACTTTATTAAATGCTTCTGTAGTCACATATAGGTGAGTGAAAAGTTCCTTATGCACGTCAACTCCGAAATAAGTGTTTGGCGCACAAGAGTGTGATCTCCTTTCCTTTATCAAGTAACCCGAACACGGCCTAATACCCACAATTACCATCACTCCCCACATCCAAGATTCCTTCAATGTGTTTATGCATAAAAAGCGGCATCTCATCAATATAGATAATCAGTGGTGTTTGTGGTTGTTTTTTAATAGGCGGTGTACGAGGTGGTTTGGAAATGCGAGCTCCCTTGTTAACACTTGTTTTGGATTTTGGGGTTGGAGAATCCGGGAATAAACCCTATAATGGCTGGTGTGGTAAAAAGGGAAGTGTTGAAATTACTTGATGCTGGAATCATTTACCAAATTTCAGATAGCCAATGGGTTAGTCCTATACACGTAGTACCAAAGAAATGCGGTATCACAGGTATACAAAATGAAAAAGAAGAATATGTAGCCAAACACATAGAAAGCATATGGCGCATGCGCATTGATTATAGAGAGTTAAACAAAGTAACTAGGAAATATCATTTTGCTCTTCCCTTCATAGACCAAATGTTTGAACGTTTATCTAGACACCTTTTTTTTGTTATTTAGATGGATATTCTGGTTTCTTCCAAATCCATATCCACCCTAATGATCAGAAGAAAACAACCTTCACATGCCCCTATGGAACATTTGCCTATCGAAGAATGCCCTTTGGATTATGCAACACACATGCGACCTTTCAACGATGTATGATGTCGATATTTGATGATTTCTTGGACGAGATCATGGAAGTATCCATGAACAAATTCTCTTTATGCGGATATGATTTCAATAATTGCCTTGATAATTTGGAGAAAATCTTAGAAAGATGCGTGCAAGTCAATCTCGTACTAAACTGGGAAAAATGTCACTTCATGGTCACAGAAGGCATAATCCTAGGACACATAGTATCAAAAATAGGTATTGAGGTTGACAAATCAAAAATTGAAATTATAGAAAACCTGCAACCTCCAAAAACGATTAAAGAAATTCGAAGTTTTCTTGGACATGTCGGTTTTTACCGACATTTTATTAAATATTTTTCCAAAATAACCAAACCTTTAACTGGCCTCCTAATGAAGGATGCCGAATTCATATTCGATAAGAAATGCCTTGAGGCATTTAACCTTCTCAAAGAAGCACTAATCTCTACACCCATCATACAACCACCAGATTGGAACAGACCATTCGAGATTATGTGTGATGCTAGCGATTTTGCAGTGGGCGTTGTCCTAGGACAACAAAAAGATAAAAGATTACACGTGATATACGATGCCATAAGGACTTTAGATGCAACACAACTAAATTATGCCAAAACATAAAAGGAACTCTTAGTTGTGGTATTTGCAATTGACAAATTATTTTCTTATTTAGTTGGAGCAAAAATCATAGTTTACACTAACCATGCTTCCATACGTTATCTACTAAGTAAGAAAGATGCAAAACCTAGACTACTCAGCTGGATCCTTTTACGACAAGAATTTGATTTAGAGATCCGCGATAAGAAAGGAACAGAGAACGCGGTTTCCGACCACCTCTCCATATCAGAATACCTGAAACCTGATCATGTCTCTATCAATGATGATTTCACATATGAGAGATTAATAGCATCGGTCAGCGATCCTATGGATAAGAATCATGACTCAAACGGAGAAGAGTTTATCGTTGAAACTATCCATATAATAAATATAGTACCTTGGTATGCTGATTTCGTTAACTACTTGGCAGCAAACATTTTACCTCCAGATCTGACTTACCAAAAAAGGAAGAAATTCTTCAGTGATGTGAAACATTTCTATTAGGATGAACCCCTCCTTTTCAAAATAGGTACCGACTATATATATATCGTTGTTGTGTACCCGAAGAGGAGATACCAAGTATTATAACTCATTGCCATTCTTCCCCTTATGGAGGACATGCAAGCACACATAAAACTTGCACTAAAATTCTTTAAGTAGACATATAATGGCCAACCCTATAGTGAGATGTGCATGCATTTATAGTTAATTGCGACTGGTGCCAATGCACTAGGAACATATCAAGGCACGATGAGATGCCCCTTAGAAATATCGAAGAAGTAGAAATATTTGACGTTTGGGGAATTAATTTTATGGGACCTTTTCCCTCGTCTATGGGAAACAAATATATAATCATCGCAGTAGACTATGTGTATAAATGGATCAAAGCTATAGCTTATCCTACCAATGGTACACGAGTATTGATTGGGATGTTTAATAACTACATATTTCCTAGGTTCGATACCCCCGTTTAGTAATAAGCGATGGAGGATCACACTTTATTTCTTGAGTTTTTGAGAAACCCCTCAACAAATATGGCATAAGACATAAAGTAGCTACAACATACCATCTGCAAACCAATGGTCAAGTAGAAGTTTCAAACAGAGAGATAAATCAAATCTTAGAAAATATTGTATCGACTTCCAGAAAGGATTGGTCCTCTAAATTGACTGACATATTGTGGGCTTATAGAACTGCCTACTAAACCCCCGTTGGAACAACCCCCTTTAACCTTGTCTATGGAAAATCTTGCCATCCACCTTTCGAATTAGAACATAAAGCCTATTGGTCCATTAAAACTCTAAATATGGA